GTATTAAATTTGCTGGACAAGTTCTTCCAAGAGACGTGTTCCTGTTTAAAATCAGACATGAGGTACGACCCTATATACCTAAAGCTCGCATATGCTTCTCGTGCTTTAGAGTTGGACACATAGCCAAAGTGTGCAAGGGCCCGCCTAGGTATCTATATTGTGGAGATAGCGGTCACGAAAATGAAGACTCTTGCCCATCAAGGAATGGCGAGACCGATGCGGTATGTATCAATTGTAAGGGCTCACATCTCGCTACCTCCAAAGACTGTCCGATAATCACTAAGCAAGATAACATCATTAAATTGGCAGCTGTCGGAAATATCTCCATAGCGGATGCTAGGAGAATTATCAACAACCAAGGTCCTTCTACTCGCTACAGCTCTGGATTGGACTCTCAAGACTTTCCACGGCTAAACTCTAAAACATCATATAACTCTTCAAGCTCACCCAGCTTTATGTCTACTAACCCTTTCAACCTTTTAGAAGCAGAAAACCAAGATTATGGACGCATATCTTATGCTGAAGCTGCTGGCTCACAGCCGGCACGCACTACGCAGCAGGCTTCCACTCACAACGGAAACAGTTATCATCACTCGTCACACGGTTTAACAAACCATCTGAATACCAGTCAAAAGAGGGTCAACAACCCGGGTTACGATAGAAGAGCTCATCAAGAAGCACTTAATAACCCTCAGGGGGCTTACGGCTACTCTAACGCAAGAGGTATGGCTTATCAATCTGCCCCCCCTCCTCAGCGTGGTCCCGGATAGCCCAATCTTTTTGAATTTGCCAAATATATTCCGGAACTTATTAATTTAATTTCAGAAATTGCTAATTGTTTTCGTAATCACGATTTTTCTACACTGGTGAATATTATCATTTCGTTCATACAGAATTACACATCTTCTAATAACTATAGATATCCCACTGGTGATATTAATTCCCCCTCTCATCGCAATAATCACAATGAATATTCTATTTCATATAATCCAACAGGCTCCCAAAGCCAGGACTCTGCGTATCCTGCTTCTGACTACCCACATGACAATTTTCGGAACTGGAATTCTTCAAATAAGTTCTAACTCTCCCACCATGAATACACACAAATAAACTCATCATAATAGAGTTGTGCCTCAATCCTCTCGCAGGCAGCCCCCCTCTGCTGGTATAAGAATTATCCAATGGAATTGTACAGGTGCTAGAGGCAACCAAGGTTCATTGGTATTGCTGGCTAAAGACTATGACATAATCTGTGTTCAAAAATCTTTGCTCAAAACAGATTCTAATCTGAATATCAAGTTCTTTCGTGCTGTCAGGAATGACATTGTCCTTGCAGGACAATGCGGCATTTGCACATTCATCAAAGACAATATTAAATTTGAGATCATTAAGCTCCAAAATATCGAACATCCGTCTGTAGAATTTCACGTCATTAAATTAATTACCTCTAGGGAGCCGATTATCTTGGTGAACATGTACAGGCACCCCGGCCAGGACACTCCACTCACTTTCTACCAAGACCTTCTAAATGCCCTCACGGAATTTAATCTTTTACTCATGACTGGAGATTTCAATGCCCACCACCCTAATTGGGGTTGTACTTCTCGTTCTGGTGCAGGCAACAGGTTACTGAAAACAATAGAAGAATTTGATCTTGTAATTTTAAATGACGGCTCTTCCACTTTAATACATCATTCCGCACAAAACTCTGTTATCGATCTCTCCTTATCTTCTCCTGTTCTTGCTCCTATCTGCTCCAGTCATGTCTTGGACGATACGTTCGGTAGTGACCACTTTCCCATTTGCACAAAAATTAACGTGAAGCCTTGCTATTCCAAGAAATTCTGCTATAAGCTTAAACTGAATAAGGATCAACTGACTACATTAAATTACATGCTTAGGAATTCTGTCAATGAAATTTCAGGAAAAGAAACCCTGGACGTTACTTCACAATACAACCTATTTGTTGAACATGTTCAATCTACAGCCAGAGGATTACTTCCTCAGGACAAGGGGGTGCCACATAGTAAGATAAACTCTTGTCGCTTGAAATCTCCTCCTTGGTGGAGTGATGACTGTGATACTGCAATGGAGAAAGGCGCTCAGAGAGCTTGTTGAGTGCCCGGACAGAGCTCGTCTCGATAATTTTAAGTCCGCTAGGAAAAGGTGTACAGAATGCATACAAGAGGCTAAACGTATCGGTTGGAGGAATCTTGTTGGCAGTTTTAATTGCAAAACTTCAACGCATCGCATCTGGTCTCTTATTAAAAGTTTCAGGCGAAACAAAAACCCTACCTTGAATCAGGGCAATAATCTTGACACAGTCTCACTCGCTGCCATTGAAAAACTCTGTCCTCCCTTTTGTCCATATAACGATACCAAACATATTGAAGACATGAAACGAGAGGATCTTCTTCAGAATAATACATAACAATGGTTAGAAGAACCCTTCTCAAGAGTCGAACTTACTAGGGCTATTAGTGTGGCTAAAAAACGCTCTGCTCCAAGTTTGGATCAAATAGATCATTCCATCATTTCCAGTTTGTCTGAGGAATATATTACTAGACTACTTGAATTGTACAATCAAATACTGGCACAGGGAGTTTTACCGGACTCTTGGAGGGATTCCCTAGTCGTTCTTATTCTCAAAACTGATGGGAAATCAGTACGCCCAATTTCTCTTCTATCATGTTTTATCAAATTAATGGAATACATGATATACTTTAGACTTAGATGGTTTATTGAATCACGTCCTCTTCTTCCGCAAACGCAGTCAGGCTTCCGACCAACCAGATCTTGCACAGATAACCTCGTGACTCTCACATCTAATATCAGAACAGGCTTTATTAAGAGATCTACTGTAGCAGTATTTCTCGATATCGCGGGAGCTTTCGATAATGTTATTCCTCACATTCTAATCAAGGACCTATATGAAATTGGCATTCCCGCCTCTATTAGAAGGTTCATTGAAAATTACATCTCTATGAGACGTCTTCATTTCGTGGTAGACGGCTCTCTTTTAGGACCATTTAACTCTTATAAGGGCACACCTCAGGGCTCCACACTGAGTCCTGTGCTTTTCAATATCTACCTTAAAGATATCAATAATCACATTCACTCGGAATCTCGTATTTTGCAATATGCTGACGATGTTGTCATATATTCCACCCAACGGTACATTGTCTCAGCTATCTCATCTGTGCAAAAATCGATTGATAATATTTATACATATCTAAGATACAGAGGCCTCGAACTGTCACCGTCTAAATCGAGATATATTATATTTTCTCGCACCAAAGGCTGCTCTGAGGTTCCTAATATTCAAATTTCAAACACACATATTCCCAGAGCTTCTACACACAAATTCCTGGGGGTTGTCTTAGATGACAAGCTGTCGGATACTCCACACCTAAAGGCCCTCATAGAGAGAGGTAAGAATATTGTCAATATAATTTCTTCTTTGGCTGGTGTCAAATGGGGCTCACATCCTGAAGTATTGCTTACGGTATATAGGACAACTCTTAGAAGTGCTATTGAATATGGAGCGCAGGTCTTTTCTTGGAACCCGGAGTCTGAAAACTTTGTTAAACTTCTCAGAATTCAGTATAAGGCTATTAGAAAGGCTATGGGATATCGGATTTCCACCTCCATCAATGCCATGCTGAGCGAGGCAAGGGAACCTCCTCTACATTTAAGATTCTCCTACATTACATCCAAATACATATACAAAGCTATGGCTAACAAATTTAGTACATCATATGAAGCCCTTAAAGAACTTGAACTTACAGCCATCCAAAAAAATCAGAAACTGAAGACCATCAAAAGTTCTAATCTCTTCAAGTCTTATATTACACATCTTCCAGACAAGAAAATCACGCATCGCACCACATACCCTCCAGCCTTCTGGCACGAATTTGAAGTCATGGCCAAACCTATCACTTATATCGGCAACATGCTTCTGTTTCATTCAAAGGACGATCCCCACGCTACGGCTGCCATTTTTCCGGAGATTTCACTAGAATACAGAATGAATGCTATCTCTATTTATACAGACGGTTCCAAGGAACCTGATTGTGCTGTCGGAGCTGGAGTATACTCCCCTGATCTGAATATCAGCATTAAACATAAACTACCGAGTGAAACCTCTATTTTCTCAGCGGAACTCTGGGCTCTATACCAGGCCGTCCTTCTCGCCAGAGATTGTGGAAACAACAAAGTTGTCATTTTTTCAGACTCCAAGAGCGCACTGGACGCAATCAGCAATCATCACTACATACAGAACAACTACATTGTCTACTACATCAAGCAAAACATTCTTCTGGCCACGCAGCAGGGAATCACAATCACCCTTTTCTGGATCCCATCTCATGTGGGTATTCCGGGAAATGAAAAAGCGGACGAAACTGCCAAATCTGTCTCTATATCTAAACTCTCTACTGCCTTCAGGATTCCATTTGAAGACCTATATGCTGTATCTAAGGAACGATTGCATTGTAGATTTACTGAATATCTTAATTCATCAGCTAGATATAAAGGCGCTCTCAATCACGAATACTTCCCTAGAACTTCCTCAAAACCTTGGTTTAATGATCTATCTTGGTGTAGAAACGAGATTGTTATGATCAATCGACTTAGATCTAACCACTATAATCTCAATAGCAGCTTACACAGAGTGAACATAGTAGAATCTCCTGCTTGCCCCTGTGGGAATAATAATCAAGATATCAATCACGTTATTTTCCAATGTGAAGTACATAAACAAAATTCTCTCCAACTACGAAACTATCTCAAATCCAAATTTCCTCAACACCCCGAAAACATATTTCCCGCCCTATCCAATCCCTCTCCTAAGCTCTGTAGGCTCCTTACGACATTCGCGGGGGCCTCCGATCTGTTCTTTTAGTGGCTCACTCCCTTCCACATGACGCACGACCACCGCTGGGTGGCAGTAGGCGCCCGACTTGGGAGTGTTCCCCCTCTACCTTCGGTCTACCCACATTGCCTTTTAATACAGTCCATTACCCATCAATACTGCGCGGACACTCAATGGCTCAGTTCCAACCTGCCTGGTTGCGGAGCCAATTAAAAGAAGAAGAAATATGACAGATTTCCTAACCTGAATAGTCGTCAACTTTAATGCTAAATATCTCTGTTTGCGGGGCAGAGCGACGCTTATTTCTGCCAGATTCTTTCGTTTCATGCAAAAACGCGTCGAATGAGCCAAATTTTATCGAAATCGGAGGTGAGGGAGGTATTCTGTATAAATACCGAAAACTAAATAATTCCGATCGGAACTCATTCCACTTCTTCTTCTTCTTTTGATTGGCTCCGCAACCGGACAGGTTGGTACTGAGCCATTGAGTGTCCGCGCAGTGTTGATGGATAATGGACTGTATTAAAAGGCGAGGTGGATAAATCGAAGATTGGGGGGGACACTCCCAAACCAGGCGCCTGCTGCCACCCAGCGGTGGTCGCGCGTCATGTGGAAGGGAGTGGACCACTAAAAGAACAGATCGGAGGCTCCCGCGAATGTCGTGAGGAGCCTGCAGAGCTTAGGAGAGGGATTGGATAGGGCGGGAAATATGTTTTCAGGGTGTTGGGGAAATTTGGATTTAAGGTAGTTTCGTAGATGGAGAGAGTTTTGTTTATATACTTCACATTGAAAAATTACGTGATTGATATCTTGATTATTATTCCCACAGGGGCAAGCAGGAGATTCCACTATATTCACTCTGTGTAGGCTGCTATTGAGATTATAGTGGTTAGATCTGAGTCGGTTGATCATAACAATCTCATTTCTACTCCAAGATAGATCATTGAACCAAGGTTTGGAGGAAGTTCTAGGGAAGTATTCATGATTGAGAGCGCCTTTATATCTAGCAGATGAATTAAGATATTCAGTAAATCTACAATGCAATCGTTCCTTAGATACAGTGTATAGGTCTTCATATGGAATCCTGAAGGCTGTGGAGAGTCCCGTTAGAGAGGCAGATTTGGCTGTTTCGTCCGCTTTTTCATTTCCCGGAATACCCACGTGAGATGGGATCCAGAAAAGGGTGATTGTGATTCCCTGCTGCATGGCCAGAAGAATGTTTTGCTTGATGTAGTAGACAATGTAGTTGTTCTGTATGTAGTGATGATTGCTGACTGCATCCAGCGCACTCTTGGAGTCTGAAAAAATGACAACTTTGTTGCTTCCACAATCTCTGGCGAGGAGGACGGCTTGGTAAAGAGCCCAAAGCTCCGCTGAGAAAATAGAGGTTTCGCTTGGTAGCTTGTGTTTAATGCTGATATTCAGATCGGGAGAGTATACTCCAGCTCCGACAGCACTGTCAGGTTCCTTGGAACCGTCTGTGTAAATAGAAATGGCATCTATTCTGTATTCTAGTGAAATCTCGTAAAAAATGGCAGCCGTAGCGTGGGGATCGTCCTTTGAATGAAAGAGAAGCATGTTGCCGATATAAGTGATAGGTTTGGCCATGACTTCAAATTCGTGCCAGAAGGCTGGAGGGTATGTGGTGCGATGTGTAATTTTCTTGTCTGGAAGATGTGTAATATAAGACTTGAATAGATTAGAACTTTTGATGGTCTTCAATTTCTGGTTTTTTTGGATGGCTGTAAGTTCCAGTTCTTTAAGGGCTTCATATGATGTACTAAATTTGTTAGCCATAGCTTTGTATATATATTTGGATGTGATATAGGAAAATCTTAAGTGTAGAGGAGGTTCCCTTGCCTCGCTCAGCATGGCATTAATGGGGGTGGAAATCCGATATCCCATAGCCTTTCTAATAGCCTTATACTGAATTCTGAGAAGTTTAACAAAGTTTTCAGACTCCGGGTTCCATGTAAAGATCTGAGCTCCATATTCGATAGCACTTTTAAGAGTTGCCCTGTATACCGTAAGCAGCACGTCGGGATGTGAACCCCATTTGACTCCGGCCAAAGAAGAAATTATATTAGCAATATTCTTACCTCTCTCTATGAGGGCCTTTAGCTGTGGAATACCCGACAGCTTGTCATCTAAGACAACCCCCAGGAATTTATGTGTGTAAGCTCTGGGGATATGTGTGTTAGAGATTTGAATATTAGGATCCTCTGAGCAACTTTTGATGCGAGAAAATATCATATATCTCGATTTAGACGGTGACAGTTCGAGACCTCTGTATCTTAAATATGTATAAATGTTATCAATCGATTTTTGCACGGATGAGATAGCTGAGTCAATGTTTCTTAAGGTGGAATATATGACAACATCGTCAGCGTATTGTAAAATACGAGAATCTGAATGAATGTGATCGTTGATATCTTTAAGGTAGATATTAAAAAGCGCAGGACTGAGTGTGGAGCCCTGAGGTGTGCCCTTATAAGAATTAAACGGTCCTAAGAGAGAACCGTCTACCACGAAATGCAGACGTCTCATAGAGATGAAATTTTCAATGAATTTTCTAATAGAGGCGGGAATGCCAATTTCATACAAGTCCCTAATTAGAATGTGAGGTATAACATTGTCGAAAGCTCCCGCAATATCGAGAAATACTGCTACGGTAGGAGATCTCCTAATAAAGCCTGTTCTGATATTAGAGGTGAGAGTCACGAGGTTATCTATGCAAGACCTGGTTGGTCGGAAGCCTGACTGCGTTTGTGGAAGAAGAGGACGTGATTCAATAAACCATCTAAGTCTAAAGTATATCATGTATTCCATTAATTTGGCAAAACATGAGAGAAGAGAAATTGGGCGCACAGACTTCCCATCGGTTTTAGGAATAAGAACGACTAGGGAATCCTTCCAAGAGTC